CAGGGAGGCGGTGGGCCTGGGCTGTGGGCTCTCAGATGGGCATGTTTGCGTCCCTGAAGTTCTCTGGTCCCCTGAGGTGAGGGTCTGGGGCAGGCCCAGGGAGGTCAGCACAGGCTGCTCACCACCGGACGGCTGTGAGCTTTGGGGCCCCTTGTCCTGATGGCCCCAAGAGGGCATCGCCCTTCAGCCTCTGCTCAGCTCTGACAGGCTCCTGTGGCCAGAAGCTGAGGGACAGGAGGCTTCTCTCCTGGGGAGCTTTGCTCCCAGGCTGCTCTGCTTTCAGCCCTGGAGGGGTGCGGTGTCCACACCCACAAGCCCCCTCACACCCAGGTCGGAAGGTGACCCTCTCGGGGCAGCAGCGTCCCCAGCCCTCCTTAGGTGGGAGGAAGTGAAGGGGCGTGCACAGGGTCCCTGGGGGTGTTGAAGGGCTCCCTCTGTACCCCAGGGGCACCTCCACAGGTTGCTGCCTCTCCTCCTGGCTCTGGGGTGGCAGCTGAGCCCTGGCAGCTCACGGGGTTCACACAGGTGCATGGTGTGCACTGTGCAGTTCCCCAGCAGGGGCCTGAACCGTGGTGTTGATCCCCGAGTGAGCCCCCTAACTCACGGGCGGCTCCCCGGCTGCAGCCTCGAGTGGCCCAGTCTCTATGTGTCGCAGGAGCGGAGAAAAACCCAGCAACCTTGCTTGATTTGAGTTACCTCTTTGCCACCTTGTCCCCACACACAGCCAGCCACATTCTGAGGCCCTGGGGACCAGTGCATCAGCGTCAGAATAAAGATGCAGTGTTGCAGGACCCACGCACACCCACGGTAACAGCAGCACCACTCAGCAATAGCTACAACCTGGAAGCAGCTTCTGTGTCCATCAGGAGTGGCCTGGATAAAGAAAATGTGGAGTACTACTCTGCCATAAAGAAGGATATGAGACATTCGTAGGAAGGTGGATGCACCCTGAGAAAGATTAAGTTTATCCCACAAAAGTTTAAATATTGCAAGGTTTCTCTTATATGAGAAACCCAGAGTATAAATAAAGAGCACAATAAAAGATGGATCATGGTTGTCAGAAAGATTGATCTTTTGCAGTGGGAGGGAACCAAGCGCTGGAGGGGAAAGGGCTGTCGAAAGGAAAGGATGGAGATGTGTAAGCTATGCGCAGTGGCTCCCCTCGAGTGTAACCCTGCACTGCACACGGGGGCAAATAGAAAGTAAAAAGGGAGGGAACTGGGGAAAAGGAGTATTTTGAGGAAGGGCACCCGGCTCCAGCTGCCGACTTCCTCTTCGCAGCGGGGTTCTGCCTTGTAGACCCAGGGATTCACAGAACAAGGCCCTGTGCACTGCCTGCCCTGCATCCACCGCAGCGTCTGCAGTGTGAGTTTCTGGGAGGGCTGAGGCGTCGCCCTCCGGAGAGGCCCGAGCTGGGTTGGGGCACCGCCTGTGCAGCGGATCCCCAAGGCTGTGCTTGTTTCTTCCAGGAGAGGCCAGCACGACAGCCCTGCGCTCTGACACAGAGAGACCCGGCCCGAGACTAGGCTGGTCAGGGCTGGTATGTGACTTCACCCTGAATTAGTCTGAATGTGCCCTGGTTGGGCAGGCACTGTTTTGCTCTTTTATTGTTATGATTATTATTTTATTCTTAAAAAAATAGTCTTTCTGCAGTCTCAGCACTGGGAGGCCGAAGCAGAAAGACTGCAGATTCAAGCCTGGGCAACTTAATGCGACCCTGTCTGAGGAAACAAAAACCAAACCAAAACAAGAAGCTTGATTTGTAAGAGCAGATTTTAGGTTCATGCAAAATTGAGATGTAGCACTGACCTCCCACATGTGCTCTGCCCCTGGCTCATGCCCCCAGTGTCAGTGCCCAGCAATGCAGTGCATTATGCCTGCTGAGCCCACGCCGATGCACCTTCCTTACCCACCGTCCCTCGGAGCTTTCAGCTTCCCTCTAGGGCTGTGTAGCCTGCATTTGTGTTTTGGGGCCTGAGTTACCCAGCAAAGGCTTATGTCTTCTGGAGCCAGGGGCCAGGACACTGGTCCTGGGCTCAGGCTAGCTATGAATCGATGCGCCTAGTTTTCCAGGTGAGGATCTGGGTGAGGGTATTAGTCAGTGTTCCTGTTGCTGGACACAGTACCCAGCACCCACACCTTAAAGGAGGAGAAGTTGCATGTTGGAGAGGATTCTGTCCTTGGTCAGCCGGCCCCAAGGCAGGGCCATCATGGTGGCAGGGCGGGGAGGAGCAAACTTCAGAGCAGAGAACGGGGCCAGAGAGGAAGGGGCAAGGGAGCAGACAGAGGCCCCAAGGCCAACCTGCGGTCTCCATGACCCAGACACAGCCAGGAGCCAGCTCTTCCAGTCCCCAGGGTGGACCCCAAAGCCAGTCCGGTTGACCCTCCACTCTGCCTGCCCCGTCGTGTAACTTTCCCGGGGCCACAAGACTCTGGAAGGAGCTGGAGAGGACTCTGCTTTGTTCTAAGTTCTGTTCCTTCAGAAACAGCTGTCAGCCAGCAGGGCTGTGAGGACTTCTAGCACGCTCAGATAAACATTTTTCATGAATGAATGCTGTTTTGAATTTCTGTATCTGTATCTATATCTATATCTGGGTATAGGTGTCTGGTTTAAGATAATGTGTTTGTTCTCTTGGTTACTGGCACAGTTTGCTTTGAAGAATAACACCTGGGCTAGTAGAAAAAGACTACTGTCAAACTGTGATATTTGGTGTGTGTTAGTGTACACTTGTGCGTGTACATTTAAAAAATTTTTATTTCTTCTGGTACTGTTAGAACCCAATGCATCGCACATGCTAGACAAGCGCTGTACCCTGAGCCACAGTCCAGGCCACCATAGTTTTTTAAATACAGAGTAAAAGTGCAAAGTAAAGTTTGGAAACTCTGGTCCATGCGATGACGCACGACTTTAATAATGGAGTAGGACTGAGGCAGCAGTGTGTCCTTGTCTTTACATCTTCTGTAATCACAGCCCTCGATCGCTGTTTGCCTTTGAGTGGCCCGTGTGATGTGAGGCCGGGGTCCTGGTCCTCTGGAGGTGCTGAGCTCAGACATCAGCTTCCTGTCACAGTACAAGCGTGGAGATGCCCTGCTGCTGAGCGGACATTTATTTGGGCTCGCAGTTTTGCAGATTGGTCCTGTTGCTTCCTGGGGGCCCTGTCACCTTCCCTGTCCTGCAGCCCCCCCCCCCCCCCCCCCCACCCGCGCGCCCCTC